AGGTTCCTGAAGGTTCTCCCCTGTTTCAGGATGTCCCAGTTCCCTCAAGGTCCTTGGGTTCAAAGATTGTCTCTACCCCAGCAGTTTTTCCGGCTGAGGTTTCCCCGGAAGTAGATTCCATGAACAAGACTCAAAAGAGTGATGTTGCCATTGAGACGATGAATGTTGAAGGGGGTGGAACCCTGGAGACTGGAGCCGTGGGAGATGTGGTTAAGGAAGCTTTTATTTCTCAAGAAGTTGGAGCTGCCTCTACTTTTCCTCTCCAAGATGGCTTGGACAAGATTATGGACGCTGCTCCTGAGGTTCCTTCCGTTGATGAAAGCTAAAGTCTTCTTTGGAATGATTCAAAGTTTCTACTTTTTCTGACTTTCTTTTGTTATCAAGTTTCTGATGTACTGCGGCTCGGTCCCCTTGACGAGTTGTCTCCTTATACTTGCCAAGACAATTTTCCTTTCTTTTCTTTTTTTTTGTTATTGTTGTTTGTTAGGCCAACTGTGCCTTTGTTGGATGATGGAATTTTCGTTGTAATCTGATGTTTTCTTATTTCCATGTTTGAATACTATCTGTACTGCTTGCCCCCAATCGAGCACTGTTGGGACCTTGGGGCCGAACAGATGCTCGGTCTGGTTAAGGAATATGTTGCATGGTTGTGCCTGCTTTTGTAATGAAAAGAGGAGGATCTTACTTAGGTCCAGGTTGGTTCTGAAAAATAATTGTTTGCCCCCACCTGGAGCTAAGTAAGATCAATACTGAAGACTATATTCTTTAGGCTGAGCTGCTTAAGTCTATTGCAACTTTGATAGCATAAGTGCATTTGAATAGGATAAAGGTATAAATAGGTGTCTTACTCGGGTCCAGGTTAGTTTGAAAAGAAAACAATTGTTTGCCCCTACCTGGAGTTGAGTAAGACTAGTGCTGGAAGTCTGTTCCAACTCTGTTTGTACGCAGCAATACTGAAGTGTCGATGTGATAATACTTAAGATATTCTATAGACTCAGAGATGTTTGCTTAAGATATGTTAGTGCGGTTTCCACCAAGCAATTCCACTTGGCTAAAGTCCAATTTAGTTGCCAAACATATTTCCACTAAGCAGTTCCACTTGGCATGTTTGAGTACTAACTAAAATTTAATTCCGTTCAGTCGTTCTGAAACGTAGTCTGTTTGGGTTAACACCAAAGCTGAGTTCGTTTGATACATATCAAAGCTAATTCCGTTTGGTAAGCACCAAAGCTAATTCCGTTTAATAAACATCAAAACTAATTACAAAAATTTGATAAATTTGAGAGAAGTGGGGAGGCATTTGCATTGGTCAAAAGATAAATGTCTTTACATCCTGATACAGAAGTTGGGGTTTAATTCTATTGATAGTATTTCTTGAGATTTGCTACATTCCAGGGCCGAGGTATGGCTCGGCCTCTAAGATCCTCTAGGTAGTAAGCTTCATTTCCAGCAACAGCTGTGACTTTGTACGGACCTTCCCAGTTAGGCCCAAGTTTTCCTTCGCCAGGCACCCTTTTGTGATCCATAACTTTCCTCAAAACTAGTTCTCCACGTGTGAATTGCCTTGGGAAAAATTTTTGGTTAAAACTTTTGATGAGCTATTGCTGACATGCTACAAGTCTGATCAATGCGGCTTCTCTTCAGCCTTCTGCCATATCTAGTGCTTGTGCAATAGCTTCCTCATTACTGGTGATTTTAGACCGGAGGGTTGGGAGACCTACTTCGAGTGGGATAATGGCCTCCATTCCATAAGTTAGGGAGTAAAGTGTTTCCCCGTTGAGCGGCCGAGAAAAAAGAACGCAGACATGTGGGGTAACTCTTCAACCCATTTTCCTTTTGAATGTTCGAGCTGTTTCTTTACTCCATTGATGATGGTTTTGTTTGATGCTTCTGCCTGCCCATTACTTTGTGGGTACCCTAGAGAAAAGTTTCGATACTCGATTCTAAGGTCGGCACAAAACTTTCTGAAGATCTTTCCATCGAACTATGTTCCATTATCCGCAATCAGTACCCATAGGATACCGAAACGCACCACAACGTTCCCCATGACAAACCGCTTTATGTCCCCTTCTTTGATACTTGCCAACGCTTCGACTTCAACCCACTTAGTGAAATAGTCAGTTGCAGCAATGAAGAATCGTATGTTCCTAGTGCCTCAAGCCAACGATCTGACAATATCCAAACCCCATTGGGTAAAGGGCCATGGGCTGGTGAATGGAGTGAGAGTTTTGGCTGGCTGATGAATTAGTGGAGCAAACCTCTGACATTTATCGCACTTCTGAACGTACTGCTGTGCATCTTGTTGCATCCGTGGCCACCAGTACCCGTGAGTGAGGGCTCGGTGCGCCAGTGACCTCTCACCAATGGGGCATCCACAAATCCCATCATGAATTTCGTAGAGAATATTTTCGACTAGATTTAGGTGCACACATAGAAGATAAGGACCGAGATAGGAGCGTCTGTATAGCTTTCCAAATGGCGAGACCTAAAACCGAGCTGACCTATGTCGGATTTTGTTGGCTTCCTTTTTATCTTCGGGGAGAGTGCCAGATTTTAGAAAAGCAAGTATCGGATCTATCCAGCTTGGCTCTAAGTTGCTGCAGAGGACTGAAGATGCAATGCTTGGTTCTGGCATGAACTCAACCCAAATTTTTCTAGCATCTCTGGTATCTACTGATGAACCGAGGCAGGCCAGAGCATCAACATGGCTGTTTTTGTCCTGACTGATTCGTTCCACTTGTATGGATCAAAATTTTTTGAGTAGATCCTTGGCCTTACCTACGTACATAGGCATTCTTTCGTCTCGTGCTTCATAGACCCCGGAAAGCTGGTTTACCACCAGTTGGGAATTGTTGAAAAAAAAGAAACTGTTCTGCGCTGAAGTGTTCGACACTGCGTAAGCCAGCCAACAATGCATCGTATTCTGCCTTATTATTAGAAGCCTTCCAGCCGAGCCTAAGAGCCTGCTCCCAAATAAATCCCTCTGGTGACATAAGTACTACCTTTGCTCCCAAGCCTTGGCTATTGGATGATCCGTCGACATAAAGCTGTCAGATGTTTCCAATAAAGAGTTTCCATGCTTCTGAAGCACATTGTTTTCCCTGTTCGGTGGCGCGTGGCGCTTGTTCTAAACTGGGGTTCTCATGCTCAGTACTTTGGGTGGGAGCGAATTCTGCAACAAAATCTGCTAAGACTTGGGCCTTGATTGCTGTCCTGGGTTGATACCGAATGTCAAACTCACCAAGTTCTACCGCCCATTTTGTTATTTGACCAGAGAAATCGGCTCGGCTGAATACAGATCTGAGAGGGAATTCAGTGAGGACATTGATGGTATGCCCCTGGAAGTAATGTTGTAACTTTCTTGAGGCGATAAGCAACGCGTAAGCTAACTTTTCCAAGGGTAGATACCGTGTCTCGACACCTAGTAGAGTCTTGCTAACATAGTATACTGGCCTCTATTCCTTGTTAACTTCTTGAATCAATACTGCACTTACGGCGTGATCTGAGACCGCTAGATATAAGTACAGCTCCTCCCTTGGTTTTGGAGTGGACAAAAGGGGTGGTGTACTGAGGTATCTTTTGAGACTTTGCAATGCTTCAGTACACTCGGGGCTCCATTCAAACGCTGCCTTTTTTCTCAATAGCTGAAAGAAAGGCTTCATCCGATCTGAAGACTTGCTGATAAATCGATTCAGGGCGGCCGCCATTCCGGCCAGCTTCTGTTGCTCTTTAGCCTTTGTTGATACTTCAAGCTCTTGTATTCCTTTGATTTGATCCGGATTTGCCTCAATTCCTCTGTGAGTGACCATGTACCCTAAGAACTTCCCTATTCCTACCCCGAAAGCGCATTTTGAGGCATTAAGGCGAAGCTGATAGTTTTTCAGGATACCAAAAACCTCTCTTAAGTCTGAAAGGTGGTTTGTAGTGAGCTTGCTTCTTACCACCATATCATCTATATAAGCTTCCATGGTTTTTCCAAGTTGGTCCTTGAACATTCGAGTGATCTTTCGCTGGTAGGTTGCCTCGGCGTTCTTAAGGCCAAACGACATTACTTTGTAGCAATAAGTGCCCCTTGGAGTGATGAACGCTGTCTTCTCCTAATTTGGGTCGAACATTGGTATCTGGTGATAACCACTATAAACATCCAGAAAGCTCATACGCTCATGCCCTGCTGTTGAATCCACTAGTTGATCGATGCGAGGTAGAGGAAAACTGTCCTTGGAATAAGCTCTGTTCAAGCAGGTGAAGTCAACACAGACTCTCCATTTTCCGTTCTTTTTTTTTACTACAACTGTGTTAGATAGCCATTGTGGATACTGTACTTCTCTAATCGCTCCTAATGCTAAGAGCTTTTTGACTTCGGCAATTACCACTTCAGTATGCTCAACTGAGGATCTCCGACTTTCTACATAACAAGCCGAGCGGAGGGATTGATGTTGAGTTTGTAGCAAGCAAATTCTGGGTTCAACCCCGGAGTATCATATGCTGACCAAGCGAATACCTCCATATTTCCCCTCAATAGTTCCAGCAGTTGAAGTTTCTCATCAACGCCTACCGAGGTACCGATAAGGAAGTACCTTTCTGGACCATCCTCTTTTACCAGGACTTTCTCCAAGTCCTCTACCATCTTTTTCTCTGGGGCTCCCCCTACATCTTCCAAGACTGGCTATTCGGCCACTTCCACTGTTTGTTCCCGGTTGCAAAGTTGTTTGGCTTTCAATGCCGCCATGAAACAATGTTTGGACGCAACTTGATCCTCTGAGATCTGCTCTACTCCGTGGTCCGTTGGGAAACGGATGAGCTGGTGGTAGGTTGAAGGGACCACGTTTGGTGAATCCATGGACGGCCAAGTATGGCATTGTAAGGGAAAGGTGTATTAATAAGTAGAAACTCTATCTGGAGGGTCTTCGTTCCTACCACAACTGGCAACACTATTTGCCAAGTGGCCATTCTGGCTGCGAATTGAAGCCGACTAATGGAGCTGCCGCTAGGGTTAGGTGCTACTCAGAGAGACTGAGCTTTCTGAACAAGTCATAATACAATATGTCTGTTGTACTGCCTTGATCTACCAGGACTCGTTTTACATCAAACCGTTTCCCAATTCCCACAGTTATAATCAGTGTATCAGTATGTGGGTGTTGTATGCCTTCTAAATCCTTTGTAGTAAATGAAATAGTGCACAAGGGGGATTTGGATACCGTGCGTACCTTTTTCAATGCGGGCTCCACTAACATGGCTTGTTGAATTTGCACAGCCTTGGCAATCTCTCCTTTCAGTGCCCCTTCACGTTCTTGGGTCACTATTCCATGGATCACATTTATTATCAGCCGAGGTGGGTGCTCGATGTTCAGTTCTGGTGGTGGGTTCCCCGGCTTGGTCACTGCTTTATCCTGATCAATGTAATCTCGGAGGTGTCCAGCTGCTACTAGGTCTTCCAAGTGTTGCTTCAGTGCTCTGCAGTTCTGAGTTGTATGCCCCCTGTCTCGATGATAGGTGCATCTGAGCTTCTGATTACGCCGAGTTGGATCTCCCAACATTTTCAGCAGCCAAACAAAGAAGGGCTATCTTTTGATCTTTTCCAAGATACGATAGATTGGTTCTTTGAATACGATCACAACTGCTTCGTGAGATTTGGACTTGTCTACCTCATTCACCATGAGCCCCCGATGTTCCCCTCGGTCTGTTCTCTTCTTTTGCCGAGTTATTTGTTCTGTTGATGTTACCTCAACCGTGATCTGGTCATCTTCGAGGCGAACGTACTGCTCAATCCTGGCACGCAAATCTTTCAGTGTTGTGGTCGGTGTTTGGTTAGTGACTGTCTCAGCTTACTTTCCGGGCGCAGACTGTGTTCGAATGACATAACAGCCATCTGCTCACTGCAAACGTTTTCCTTCAGGTCATTGTGCTCTTCCCAATACCTCATAGCATAGTTGCGCAGCGTTTCATCCTGTTCCTTTCGAAGACTGAACAGTGTGTCCAGCTCTTTCGGGATCTTAGTGTTGGAGACGAACCTAGCTAAGAACTCTTCGGAGAGCTACTTCTAGTCATGAATTGATCCAACAAGGAGTCGATTGAACCGTCGAAGCCCGGATTCTCCCAAGCTGGATGGAAAGACTTTGCGCATCAGTGCTTCGTCTCGGCTCCATAGGGACATCATCTGTCTATAATAGCTAATGTGTGTCAATGGGTCTAACTTCCCATCGTACGACGTGAACTTTGGCCAGGCGAATTTCTTGGGGGGTCTTATGGCCTCGATTTCCTGGGAGAATGGGGAAGAGACAAGCCTATCCAACGCTCGGTGCTCTCTTTGATTGATGGTATGGTCTAGATGATCTCGACGTTGCTCATTCTGCTTGTTGCCAATCAACCAAGTACGAAGGTCTAGAGGAGGGTACTCGGTCTGCTGGCTAACTGTCTTTTACCTTTTAGCCCTTCTCCGGCGTGAGCCATGGGTGTGGCTGCTCGCCGCCTCACTCTGTATCGGGATTGGTTGGCTCGGCTGCCCAGACTCATTTCTGGGGATCTTTTTCACTGGTGGTTCTTTGGACGAGCTTCTCTGTCGCAGGCGAGAGGGCTCGCGTCAGTCCTCTTCTCCGTCGGATCGCCCAACACCCTTTTGAGTTGTGCTTTCAGCTCCTATATCTCCATCCCCATAGAGTCTATGATTCGATCTCTGTAATCCTTTTCCAGAAGAAAGTGATGAGAAGAACCTCCAGCGAAGGGTAATCGATGCTCGATGAATTCGGGGGTCCGGTTATTGTTTCCAATTTGTTCTTCTAAGACTGTTGGGAGTGCCAAGCCTTTGTCTTTTGTCTTTTCCATCTGTGGAGTATGTGTCGAAGGTGGGACGTCCTCAATCCCCATCGCCGGAACTGAGTGCAGAGTTCAGAGATAAAGCCTCCATGCTCACCGCACCAATTGTGCGTACGGAATACCGCACTAAATGAAAGTGGATCGGAGCTCCGTACTCGGTTGGACTATCCAAGGATTGAGGTCCCTGCGGCAGGAAAAACCGTAAGAGCTGCCCGGCCGGGGTTGGCCGGATAACCCCTCCGGTGTAGGAATCAGTAATCGGAGAAGAAGTGCAGTGCCCTCTAAGTGTAGAGAGTTGAGTTTTTAGTAAATGGGGTTCAGTTTAGATCAGTTACCTTCAATGTGAAGTTAGTGTAGTTTATATTGAACTCCTTGCTTGCTTCCTAAGATGGTTTCATGGAGCTCTGGTGCTGCCAAGTTTCCTTTTAGCATTGCCTAAGGTGGGGGACCATCTGGTAGCTGCCAAGGGGTGCATATACTCATTGCAGTCATGCTGATAACAAACCACATTCCTTTGGTTCAACTATTTCCGTGATTCTAGGTGTACGGGACCAGCTGAGGTGGCAACTTGCACATGCATATATTCATATCTTTCACGTTTCTTTGAGAGGTTCCTTTAGCTCGGCACCGTTGTGCCTCGGCTCGGCCCTTTGCGAGGCTACTATTGGGATGGGCTGGCCCATTCAGATATTTGTGTATAGACTCGGCCCACTTTGGTTCTAATGATGGGTTCACCCATCAGTTCGGTCCATAGAATGAGTCCCGCGGCTCAGCCCTAGCCCAGTATCGCAGCTAGATTAACCTTTCTACTGCGAGTTGGGCCCAAGTGCTTAAGGACTTGGGTGGACTGTTAATAATGGAATTGGGTTTAGTTGGGTTACCCACATGCTCATCTGACCCATTTAGATTTGGGCTTAGGAGATTGGACCGGCCCAAGACTTGGGTCCGACCCATTTCTTATTTGGCCCTTTCAAATACAATAAATAAATAAAATCATTTGAACAATTTAGCATATGATATGGTAAAGTAGCATAGTGCAGTACTATTTTATATTACATCTTTGACTGTTAGTTATTTTATTAAAAAATTATGCCTGTGTCATTAGAATTGAAATTTTATTTATCAATTATGTCCTGTGAAGATAAATTTAGCGAGTGATAGTTAAATTAACACAAATAAATTAAGATAACTTACATGAAAAGATAAAAAAATTATATCAATGCACAATCCGTTTATTTATTTTATAATCTTGACTTAAATTAATGAATTGAAACATTATGTAAAAAAATAGTGGTTCAAGAATTATAGTTGATAAATAAATGAATAAAGAAATAGCTCAAAAAATACTATACTGTTAAAACATGTATATATGTTATTTTAACGAGTGGTGCTATTAGCACCATATGAATTATTTTAGACCTTCTATTTTTTTGAGCTTTGGCTTATAAATTTTGAAACTTTCAAAATTTCTTCCCCCAAATAATACCAAAATTATCCTTGTGAAAACATTCCACCCATTGAATGCACACTCCTCATACCTCAAAAAAACTCATCTTCTAAAAAACCCTAATAAAACCCACCAAGAAGAAGAAGAACCAATGTGATTACTATCATTGCTGCTTCATCCACCATTGTCTCAGTTGGTATGCTATCTCTCTCTCTATATATATATATACATAATTTTTTAATTTTCTCGTAATAATTTCTTCTCTTGCAGGAAAAAAAATTATAATAATTGGTTTGATTAATTTTGTTGGCAAATATTATAAAATTGTCAGTTCAGCAGAGAACTACGCGGCAATATTATCAAAGATACGCGATGAATGAATAACTTTTGAACTTGATAATAGATTTGGACTACTTCCGATAACTTTTGCAAGTGTTAAAAATTTTGACCATTTAATGTGTTAAGAAATTTTCATGTTCGGACCTGCATTCCCGAACATTACTTATTTGTTCGGGAATGCCTTCTCGAACAAATAAGTAAAGTCCGGGCCCATATTCCTGAACTTGAAAAAATAAAAACTTCTGCGAGCGTTAACAATTTTAACCGTTCAATGTGTTAAGAAATTTTCATATTCGAACTTGAATTTCCGAACATTACTTATTTGTTCGAGAAGGCCTTCTCGAACAAATAAGTATGTTTGGGCTTATATTCTCGAACTTGAAAAAATGAAAACTTCTGCAAGTGTTAGCACTTTTGACCGTTCAATGTGTTATGAAATTTTCATATTTAGACTTGCTTTTCCAAACATTACTTATTTGTTTGAGAATGTCATCCCGAACAAATATGTAATGTTCGGGCCTGTATTTTGCCAAAGGGTTGCCACTATTACTGTCGAAATGTTGCCATTGCTGGAGAAGTGTAAGTAGTCAAATGGTTGCCACTGTGACCGCCGAAATATTGCAGCCATTACCGCCGAAATATTGCCGCCAAAGGGTTTTCAAAATTTTGAGGGTTGGTAGGTTTTGAAGATGAGATTTGAAAAAGATAGATGAGTGGTGATGGAGGTGGATGCTCTCATAAATCCTAATTTATGATGTAATAGATGTGTAGGTTTAATTGTGAGATGGAGTGTCCCAAAATTAATGATGTCCTTTTTAATAATTTTATTTGAGGTTATTATTGTAATAAAAAAAATTAAAAATTAAGAGGTCCAAAATAATTTATGAGGGGCTAATAGCAACACTCTATTTTAACATAGTAAATATTACACACTTCTAGACCAGCTTACAGCAAATCTATATAAAATACACTTCAATACAACTAGGAATGCTCATAATACATAGCTATATGCTATTCACTCCCTCACAGCTACTTCATTAACCAATTAAATAAGCAGTTGTGCAATGCACACAGAACGAATTTTTCATAATGAGACACAAAAGTGATTCAAAATGTTTATATTTATAGTTGCGAACATTTTGTCTCACATTTGTGCTTTCTGCATCCTGTACTTTTTGTGTGAGTAGAATTTTTCCTAAGTAACATGAGGGGGAGCAGTGGTTGTTGCAGGAACAACAGGGATAGAGAAATATGCATCAACCAAAGAGGCTTCAAATTTCATCCTTGTATGGTCCGAAGCATCAAAGGAAAACCTCTTGTACAACATCACTTTTGCCTTCTTTAAGGCGTAGCTAACTGAAGAATATGTCAAGAACCACAACCCTAGCCGATGAACAAGCTGTTTCTCATCGCCCCACCTCGGCCTTTGGAGATTCCCTTCCATTTTCTTTCCAGAAGAGCCACATTGGAATGATTTATGCTTTTCTTTCCGTGAAATGCGGCGTTGAGAGAGAGAAGGATTGTTCCCTCTTTCTCCATAAGATGGCTCTTGCATTAACTTTCTGGTTGTAGGCTGCCGGAATCCACTGAGGCTTACAAGTTGGGCAACCATGAGAATGAGTGAGTGAGTGAGTGAGTGAGTGAGTGAGTGATCAAGAGCAAGCCAAGTTGAAGAGAAAGTGTCCTAATGCATGGTTTCTTTATAGAGGCCAAAAGATTAAGTAAGGCCTATCATGGGATATAGCAATATCAACAAATGAGTGACCTATAAGACAGGTAAACTTCAGGACCACACTCCTTAATATCAGTAAATCTGTAAAAAATGGTATTGAAAGTTATATTCCGCTCAATGAATGTCCAGCATGACCATATGGGGCTAAATTTAGGGTCGCTCAAGATGAAACCAATTATGATACCGACTAGGACAATGGATGGTGAAAGCGGTATCTAACAATTCTTGATGCTGATTAGGACAATGGATGACCGGGTTATCACCGATCGCCATATTGATGTCGCAAACTCTTATGAGAGGCAACACTAACTAACCCAAGGAAGGAAATCTGACACATTGAAGAAGGGCAGCATGCCAACATCAGAATGTTAGTAAAAACCTCATAAGATTGTGAAACTTGTCACATCTAGGTGAGGTCATCGAGGACACCCCTCACGTGTCCAGGCATGGTCAAGGAGAAAGAAAAGGCGATTAGGGTAAACCATCACCTCTTTATAAGTAAAAAGAAAGCAACAATTACAAGGTCTATGAGAAAAACATATCGAACATAGAACTAGTGGGTTTTTCCCCGAAAGTAATTAGAGCTTACTTAGTCATCAAGGCGTTTACCTGACCAAACATCCTACCGGTTTACTCTGGTTGTTTGCTTCATGTTACAAGTATCCCATTCAAACATCAATCGCATTCAAGAAAAGAAGCAGCTAGAAACCATCCCATCACAATTCTCATAAATTATTGAACTAACTACTTCTCCACAAAAAATTATCCGATTTAAATGAGCAATGAACAAATTTTAACAAATAATACGATATGAAAATGAAAGGACAAGGGAAAAAAAAAAGAAGTCACATGATCAACACATACTCTCAACTTAAATGATTGCATAAATGCTAGTGTAGTTTGTACGAGTGGTCTTTTGGATTTTGAATTTGTAAAAGAATTTATAGGGAGAAAAAGAAAAAAAAAAAAAAAAACTAACTTCTACTTTATTTCTCTATTTCTTTCCTCTCTTTTTTTCATTCTTTCTTTTTCTTTTTCTTTTTTTCATTTCAATCTGCATATCCCTTCACAAGTTCAAGATCCCAAATACAATCTTATAGTTATTGAGAGTAGATATATATATATATATATAGTGGCAAACTCTATAGGATTAATATATTTTTTGTAATTACTTCGTTGTTACTATTATACAAATGTTATCAATTTATCATTACAAAGACGTTATTTGATAGTAATCGGATAATTAAGCCACTCAAAAGCTTTGATAAAGATTACATTCTCTTCCTTGTCCTTTTCCTTTATTTTAGTTTACAATTATTTTTATTAAACAAAACATAGAATTATTATATATTTCTCAATTATTGACTTTTATAAGAGAATGTACAACTATTTCAATCATGTTAATCACACTCTAAAGGCACCTGTATGATAGCTTCACTATTCAAGAAATCAAAAAGTTACTTAAAAAAGCTAAAGTCAAAAATTGTTTTAAAAAAAAAGTCAAACACCTCACTAATTCAAGATTTTTGCTACCAAAAAAATAAATGAATAAATCAATTTCCAAATAATAACTCAATCTAATACAATCTAATAATTACATCCACACAGTATAATTTATAATTGAATGATAATTTTTTTTTCAATGTAATTTATAATTGTCACATATCAATAACCACTAGATATTATAGCTACATTGAAATTTTACTCATAACTTTGCTATTTGGAGGGTTAGTATGTGAGAGTGAGAAGGGGGGCTTCTCATTGTTAGGCCTCGTTTGGCAACATCAATTTTTAGGTTAAAAGTTAAAAGTTAAAAAATCATTAAAAAAATCAAAAAGCCAACAACTAATACTAAAAAGTCAAAGATTTCATTTTCTATCTACTTTTTCACATCTTTTCGTAAAAAATTAAAAAATCATCTCAAACACACTAATTTTTTTTACATCATATTTTAGTTAAAAAGACAAAAAAATACTTAAAAAAAATATGTTCCCAAATGAGGATGTCTTTTTTGTTTTTTGTGGGGGTCCCCAACTTCAATCCCATTTTTGTACAGAATGTGACCTTCCAAAACCATTGGCTGAGATTAAGCATTGTTGATTGATCAGAACCGTCCACCAAGTTGTCCATAAAGCATGGCAAAGATCGATCGTACATCATGATAAGGGTGTGATGGGAGGGTCACCAACAAAACCCCATGGTACATGGTACTATTACACCGACTTGTCCTTGGAAACAGCATCGAGCTCTTTGCTACTTCGCTTTCTCATTTTTTTTTCTTGAAGATGACTTCGAGAGGATTACGTTTTAATGAAAAGCCTTGTAAATTTAGACATTTTAAGTTCAACTCCTCTTAGTATTATTATGTTTAATCTTAATCAATGAACTCTTTCCTTTCTTTCACACTTTTATTGATAGAGATGTATTCATGGATCTCTGAAGGTAACTGGAATGAGTAATCTAATGATAAAGTGACTTGTCTTGAAAGAAAATTGTGTACCAAGTTGTTCTAAGTTTCACTACTTCTGAATTGTATTTGATCTTAATTGATATTCGTGATTTGAGTGAATGGTTATTTGAACCAACTCAAAAATATTTGATTTCGATGGTATACAATCTCAAGTAAGATAAGAAAGTCAATCATTGTCAAAGACACGATTTGATTATTGATGCAATTATTGCTAATATTGGACTTGTGGGTATGTATTGTTAAACTTTCTTATATAATTACTTTTCTTGATATTGGTAAATATTCTCTTATTGATTGAAGAAGGGAAAAAAAAAAAAGAACACTTCAGTGGCTTCCACTGGTTTGTGTACATAAGACTAACACAGCCTAAATGTATGAACACAAATCAAATCCATTAATCAACCTCATAGTTCAAAGAAGTTTACAGAGCTTTGTGAAAGAATGTGTTCCGATGGAACTGTATATTTATCCTCAACAACAGCTTGGTCAATGTGGCAACTTATTCTGTTTTATCAAATCACTCAAGATTAGGTCACAATCATCTAATATAAATAATAAAATGAATGATATATCTATCCCAAAAAAAAAAAAAAAAAGTAGCATTCCTCAATTAAAATTTCAACATTACTATGAGAGAGAGAGAGAGAGAGGTACTGACATTTTAATTTCAGACAACTTCAAATTCAGCACCAATTGGCAAATGATCACTTGGGTGATGATAATTTGGCAATCCACCAAGAACATCAGGGGATTCTGGTTCTGAAAGTTCAAGGAAGCTGACTGGTTTGATATTATCACCAGATGGAGAAAAGAATATGTAATCGAGAGTACCGGTGAAACCGGGGGTGTAGTTAGTGAATGGTGGTTCTCCCCTTGTCAATGCATAGACACTGCATAAGGGAATAGGTACATCTTCAAAACATTCCGGTGATCCCCCCATTGAAGAGCTGCCTGAAACTAGGTATTGATATACCTGAAAGAAAAGGAATCTTCTTAAAAAATATTGCAAGAAGCCTAAAATTTTAGAGAATACAACTAGATTCTCAATATCACTGTTTGGATGAACTTACAGTGCCTTTCAAACTCTAAATGCAAACCAAAATAGAGAGTAAACGAAAAGCAAAAAAAAGATACCAACCAAACCTAGAGTATATATGTGTGGTACATAGCAAAAATTTAAATCATCAGTTCATCACTTCAGGTTGCAAATAGTTTCAAATAAGGAAATATGAAAAGTATTTAAGAACCTTATCTCCGGGGGTCGAATTGAAGTCACCAGCCACAATTACAGAAGGAATACATTCAAATTTGTCAGATACTAGTGTTTTGAATTGAGCTAAGCGTGAAATAAGGTATTTGGCCTGTGCAAGCTTTACATCTGCCCAATTTGGATCCCTGCAGCAGCAACATATTAAATTTAACCCCAAGTCGTAGATGTAATCTACACACCAAAAAATTAGATTAAAATAAACAAATGACAGACAGGTAAAAAAAATTACCAATAAAGGTGCGTGTTTGCCACAATAACTACATGATCAGAAGGATCCTTAAGTTTAAAGGCAGCCATGATACCAACACAATCACGTTTTAATCTTACACAAGGATCATTGGGATCTCCACGATGCCCATCAGTGTCTTTCTGCGGTAAACCTGAAGAAGGATTGTTGAGGAAACAAGCCACAATTATAATGTAATTTAAGTAATTACAATACATTTCGAAAGCTTTGCTAATAAAAAAAAAAAAACCATTTCGAAAGATTAGGGAGTTCTAAAGTAGAAGCAATATCAAAGAAGAATAAATAAAGCTTGAAAACAAACTAGAAACTTGAGTTTGCAATTTGTAAGAACTAATTTCATAATTTGATCACAAAGCAATCCTGGTTAAATTTAGTTGCATCAATTTTGAACCAGAAACTATTATACTGTAATTTGAATGCTCTGCTCATAATGACACTTAAATGTTTGGAAGTCGAATGTATAACATCAGTACTTGGTTGTGATTCTTGTGATGAAGGTTTAGGCCCTTACTTTAATTGGTCTTCTTTCTCAAACTATTTGGAATATTTTGACAAGAAGAAGAAATAAAGTGAATAATGCTTTCTTTTCAATAAGCCTTCTCACTGTTAAACCTTTTTAAGTTTGAATAATTAAAAATAGGCAGATGGGTCAAACTTTTCAAGCAGCATAATGTACAGTATAATTCGATTTTAACTTCTCAAAAATGAACAGCGTGAATTTAAATTGCAACAAACATCAAAGAAAATATTATAACTATTTGAAACTCCTCCATGTAGAGTTTAAATACCAAATTCAGCATCCTTTTGACATTTGGCTTCATAGATATTGACAGTATCAATCTTAAGAATAACAAAAGAGTAATGTAACATTTATAGGCCAAAGAAGTACCCTTGTTCGGTTCAGTATCTTTATTTACACTAGCTAGAGTATCGTTATCTTTGTCTGCATGCATAGCTGTTCCATCTTGGATTGAGTTTACAAGATCATTGTATTCTATTTTCTCCTCTACAACCAGCTCTGCTCTGACAAAACACCAAAAAGAGAGGTAAACAAAATAAGTTATATAAATAATGTTCATTATGAACAAACAAGTACTTGAAGTTGAACTAAGCTGAAGAGAATGATGCTCTCAAAGATATTGCACCAATCAACTCAGTACCCATCCAATGCCATAAGATTTAACTTTAAAATATATCTTCCCCAATCATGCCAAAGTCATTGTACATGAGATATTGTTAGAATTTTAACAAAAGATATGAGGAAATGAACTTGCAATATTATTCAGATAGTCCTTTAGATCCTAAAAATTCCAAGCCATCAAGAATTGAATAAGGCACGATGTAAAAAAACGTTGAAAAGAGAAGACTTATTACATGTTGTGCTTATAAAATATCCCACAACCATCAGGCTTCTTCCCGCTTCTCTGAATATAGATACTTGCATAGCCATGGCTCTCCATATTTCCTTTGTAAAAGCTATCATACTCATCCACTTCCTAGTGAAGTTGGCACTAATTAATTAGAATAAAAATTATAAATAATCATGGCATCATAAAGGTTAACATGACGAAGTTTACAAACAAGCTTCTTCTTTCTTTTTTTATCTTTTTTTTTTTTTGATAAATAAAGTTTACAAACAAGCTTTAGAATGAATTTAAAACTGTAATGAAGACTACGCAGCAGTAAAAACCTGCAAGCAAAGAAAATCTGCCCTGAGGCTCTTGATAAGAGTCAAAATTGCCTGGGAACGAGTTTTCCACCTGTAATAAGCATAGCCACCAAACAAGGATCAAAATTTCATTTACATTGTTTCGGTTAGCATGGAAACAGAAATGCTTCAGAAATACTTTAGAAATGTTTTTGGAAACACAAGGGGGAAATGAGAAACAAATTTGAAAACGTTTGAAACTATTTGGAAACAAAAACTAAAATCTATATAAATGTTACTAGTTTCTCAATTATTAAATAATTGAACATGTTGTTAGAAACTCATTAACAAAAGGTTTAAAGGCTTAGTTTCTAACATATTTGCCACAGTAAGAAAAAACTTAAAAAAAATATAAAACTCTAATAGTAGTAGGAATAAATAAAATAAAATAAAAAATTTACTTTGCAGTAACAAAGAAGAGAATAAGTGACTTAATCAAGCTAGATTTATCTTCTCCTCTCAATCTCCCCTCTCCTTTCCAGTTTCTCAGATTCTTTAGTGCATCAATCCCCAAAGAGAAATCAGTCTCTATTTTAAAAGTGATTTGATAGCAAATAAGAAAGTGGAGGAGACCATTGAAAGCAAGGATCTTTCTTGAAGTGGAGTTTAGAAAGACCTGTTATCATGTGGATTCAAAGTTCACTTTGTTTTTACTAGGATGGATACGCTTTTGATCTAACAAAGGAAATGGTGAAGGTTTGCTCCTTATCAACATATGGAAGTTAGGACAAGAAGATCGTCCATTACAATCCTATTCACCTTGATGTCTAAGGGTGGACATAGATCAAGTTGGGTGAAAATGAATCATGTAGAATGCCTACAAATACCACATAAGATTAGGCCGCTTGGCCCAACTTCAACCTATTTTATTAAACAAGCTGAACTTTGAAGCCAAAAGTGACCCTGTATATTAGATTCCAATGATTTTATTTTTGAACCTTAAAAGTAAAAATTATATTTCAAATACAGTAATCCCTTAAACATTTCCTTTGAATCTTTACTTTTCTGCTACAAGGGTTTCTAATGATATTTTATTTGTTCAGTAACTATCAAAGACTGTTTCTGTTGATGTTTGTTGATGCGGTTGAAGGCACAACAATGCTCTTTGATTTGAACACGACAAAAAATGAAGATAAACAGGAAATTGTGAGCACTGAACACTAAGGGTATGTTTGGTTTGAGTTTTAGAAAAAAAATTCCAAAAAATTGTTTGGTTTGAGATTTTTCTCAAAAAATTTCCAAAATCACTTTCTCTCTCTTACACATCAATCAATCACTTTTTCTCTCTCCTCTTTCCTTCTCAATCACTTTTTCTCTCACACACATCTACTCAATTACAACAAAATATCAAATCATCCCAAACTCCCAAACTCCAAAACTACTTTTAAAATATACAACCAAACAAACCAAAAAAATTTCTAAACTCTCTCCCCAAAAATTTTTTCAAAAACAACTCTCCCAAAAACAAACCAAACAAGCCCTAAATTTTCCACCCCCTCCCTGCCATTTTCTCTCCCTACCTAACTTCCAGCTTGTGTGTGCTCTCCATGTTTCTTCCCTTGGCTTAATACATTCCACAGTTTGTAATGCATCAGATACAAGCAATATATGAGAATAATCTACGCAAGGGGAAGTTAACGATTTCTATGTTACACCTTCTGGCTTTAGAAACATTTTCCAAGAGGCTTGGCATTTATTTATACAAAGAGAAGGGGAAAGAAAGTCCAAACATAACTTATTCAGAAATCACAAAGCATAAGATTAAAGATATAATTTACTTGCGACAAGGTGGAGGAGAGTGTGGAAATTGCTCACTCTTTGCATATGCCTAGATATTAAAATGGTAAAAAAAAAAAAGTTAGAATTAATAAGGGAAAGGAGTTCTCTGCACAGGCGAATACTCTACATTTTTATTAGAACAACATAAGATAAGCAACTTCAGTTAGAGGTAGAGACTGGAAACAAAGCACTCTTCTTCTCGTAAACATATCTGAGAAATTCACTTCAAGCATCAGAATGGATTGCATACCTGTGCCAAAATGTTGTATGAAACAAGACGGAATTTCAAGCCTGTAATATCATATTTTAACATCACATATCAGACTCTATAAGAGAACCTTAAAAGTTGTTCGTCTATTATTGTTTTGATACAATCACATGTATTGATGAAGTCCCACAGTAAGGCCCCCTGATTTACTTGTTTGCATGGTTCACAGAGTAACAACACAACAACATCAGCTAACAGTGATTCTAGAGTCCCATTTGATAGTAAATGAGCACTGGGAACAATTGCAGCAAAACTTATGGTCATGAAAATGAGAGGTGAAATATGTAAATTTTAGTTTATAATTTATGTAAACTTCTACGATATCTATGCCAGCTGCAAAATGCGATAAAAAAAAACAAAACAAAACAAAACAAAACAAAAACAAAAAACAAAAAAGGAAAGAAAATAAAGGAACAACGGGAGGGGGAGATGGGGGTGCTCAGGAAGCAGGGGGGTGAGATTGTTAAGAAAAGTACTTTAGAATACGCTAACATTTACATCAAACCATATGAAGCTTAGTAGCAAGTAGTCCAACCAAAAACAGCTAATACTAGCTGGGACAAAAAGTAAAATGAAAATGAGAAATGGAAACGAAAAGGACATAAGCACCTGTAGGGAGCAAATATTCCGCGGAGCCCGTACTCCTTTCGTCCAAGCTCCTTGTCTATCCGATCGACCTGCGAGCACAACGGCGGTGAGCTACCCGGCGGTGTGTGGCCGGAAAACCCCTCCGATGGTCAAGTTAGCACACACACTTAGGGAGAAAAAGAGGAAGAGAGAGATATATCACAATGAGTGTTTCTCACCAAATGATGTTTCATCCCTAGCATGGGGGGCGCAGTCATACTTATATACTTTTTGCGCTCAACTTTGCACCCATTAGTCTCTCGACACGTGGAGCTGCTCTCCCATCTGTCAGCACAAATCCAGCGAACACCACCTAACCAAACCGTCAGACAACATTAGCGGGAACTCGACAGCCCGGTGGCATTACCTCGGCCTTCCACGACCGTGCTACGTAATGTGCCTGAATGCTTCACTCGCCAAGCCCCATAACGGTCGAGCTCGATAGCATTCCGGCAAAGCCGAGCTCGAGGCAGGTCGGCCGGTGAACAGAAGACATTTCCCACCGAGCTACGCGTGCGACCCATGGAACCCGGGTTGGCAGGCAGTCATCTCGGCCAAGTAAGCTCAGTCCAAACATGGGACCGAGACCTCGGGCTTGGGCCTCGACCGAGCAAGATCAACTCCAAGGAAGCCCCAGTCGGCCTAAACAGGGGGCCCGAGCCACGACCAAGTGAAACCCACTCGAAACAGGCCCAAATTAGCTCGGCCCTATCCAGTCCGACTTCCTCCACGGCCCAAAGCCAGATTATAAATCTCCCTCTCAATTGCCCCTTAATTCCGTCCGCGCAAGCGTAACTGGGATTACCTGATCCGACCGGGGTAGATTCTCCCTCGATTCTTAGTTCGCAAAACGTTAACCGCGCTAATCCCTAAGCTCGGTTTCTTGATTTGCTCGGTTGACGTCTCAAGTCGCCTTCCTGTCTCTTCAATACTGACGCCGCCGTCAATGGGGAGACGCGTCGATCATTTATTGGCCTCGAGTAGCCAACCCAGCCGTCTCTTCAGAGTCAAATTTAGACGGTTCTTTTCTCCTATAAACACGCCACATCCCCCTTCATTTTCTTCCTACTGTCTCTCTTTCATTCCAGACAACCTGCAGTGCCCTCCATTGCTTTTTTAAGCTCCATTCTTGCTTTCTACCGCGTTCGTGCTTGAAGACTCGACTTCTGCCTCATTCTGGTTAGTTCTTCAAACCCCTTGTAAAAATATTGATGTATTATTGATTGATGTATGTTGTTATAAATTACAAATGGTGAGGGGCTCCTTATATAGGAGATGTAGTGGGGTAGGTGGTAGTAGGTGGTAGTGGTAGGTGTGTAGTAGGTGGTAGTAGGTGGTGGTAGGTGGAGTAGGTGATGGTAGGTTTTAACAGCCCCCCGCAAACTCAAGGGGGATAGGAACTAACCAACTTGAGTTTGGAGAGAGTAACAAAACAAGAAAAAAATCTGAAAAATAAAAAATGGATAGGAGACACTGTATGGTCGTGTCAGACAGTTGTAGAAGACTGTAAGCCGTTTATGGCAGACCGATGTAGACGACAGTTTTATGGGGTCATGTCAGACCGTTGTAGCAGACAATTTTGTTGTGACAGTTGTTGTGACAGTTTACGGATCTTGCTGGACCCTTGTAGAAACTAACCGGAATCAAATGTCGGGACAGTTTACAGAGTCTTGTCGGACCCATGAAGGAGCTAACCGGAATCAATGTCGGGACAGTTTACAGAGTCTTGTCGACCCTAAAAAGTCGCACCCTCAAAAAGGTGTGCCCAATCTTTCAAAAGGCGTGCCCAATCCATAAAAAGGTGTGCCGGACATGATGGCGAGGGCGTCACCACATTGGCTTGCGCGCCCCGTTTTTGTCGTCTGGCGTCAAGTGGCGCGCGATGCGCGTGTCTGCCTTGGCTATTTAACCAAGACGGAGGCTGAGGCAAAGGCAGAGGCTGAGACAAAAAAACCTGCGAAAATCCTTTGAAAAACCTTTCCGTTTCTGAGAAAGAGATTCTGGAACACTCTGTTGCCAGAAAATGGCCTCGTCTTCCCGTCAGCTACCCAGAATATGGCCTCTTTCGTCCCGTGGTCTGCTCACTCTCTTTCCCGACCTCAACGAGTCAACAAGAGAGATAACTGGTGCGGTGGCCAGTGAACCTCAACCAAGCGCCTCTGGTTTTGCTCCGTTGAACTTTCCGATGCGGTCGGTGGAGCAAAAAATGGCGGTGCAAACTGATATTGAGGCCAATCAATATACTTTGAAGTCATGTGTGGAGACCATGACGGCGGTCACAAAACTCTGTCGCACCGGCTGCAGAGTAGGACAAATGAGGTGGCAGGCAGTTAAACGCCCAACTGGCTCTGCTCCAGCGCATGTATAAGGAATGCGCGAGCAGAGATTCATGATGTGCTAAAGGCGGAAAATAAGGAGCTGAAGCGGAAGGCCACCGTTATGTTCCGATTTGGAGGTCCGCCATATGCTGTAGTGGAGGAGCACGGTGGAGTGATCGTGCCCAGTGGAGTGGGAAACACGGAGGCAACACCGGTAAAGGCCGCCCAGGACGGAGGCAAGAAGAAAAGACCGGCGGCAGAGTAAAGAAGAAAAATCCCACCTGTGAATGTGGTTGTTTGTTTGTATTTTTTTTTGTTTTGTTTTTTTTTTTTTTTTTTTTTTTTGTTGTTGTTGTGTGTAAAATTGTGATCGGGGTTGATCACTATATGAATAAAATGAGGTGATTATGGAATTGGAAAAAGATTAAAAATAATGTGAAAGAAAAATAAAGAAAGAAATAATAAAAATATATTTGAAATCAAAAATGAAAGATGAGGGAAAGAAGGAAAGTGGTTTGGAGAAAATAAATAAAAATAATGGAGTTTTTTTTTTTTTTTTTTTTTTTTGCAAATCTTGTAATATATAATAAAAAGAGATATATAGATATATATATATAAAATAAAGAAAGTGCGGAACAAGGAGTGCACCAATTAAGCTTTAGAATAAAAAAAAAAGTTTGGGCGGTGGATGCAAAGTGAGGAGAGAGAGTGGGTGTAAAGTGAAAAGAAAAAATAAAGAAATAAAAGAAGAAAAGTAAAATGGGTTTGTGCAAAAGCGTGGAGGAAGTTGCAGATATAGCCCATCTTGTCTGCTGCTGCTCTGCCGAATATGGTAGGTAGCCACAGGTATGGTCCATCTCTTGGATGGATCGCTCTGCAAACAACAATTGAGGCCGTAATCATCGGCGACTTGCTGCATCAAGCTGTTAACTTCACCCTCGGGAGTGGAAAGAGAAGTACTGCCAGCCATGGAACTCTCCATAAACTCAGCCTGAACCTCCATATTGACGAACTGTTTCTCGAACTGGTCCATGGTCTCAGACATCTTCTGCAAATTGCCAGTGGTGAGGGAGGATTCCAAGGACTTGAGTTTGCCCATGGACTTGCTGATGGTGGTCATCTTGGCCTAAGTGTCGAGCCTGGCGACGACGGCGTCAAGGCGAGAGGCAAGGCGGAGGTAATTCATCTGCTCGTTGCGCTTGCGGATGGCGTTTTCGGCGTAGATTCGAGCGCCGTCCATGTTTCCTTTCTCGATCGCTTTCTTGACTTTGAGTTTCTCGGCTTTCTCTTCCTTCTCGCACTTCTTCGATTGACGTTAGAGGCTCTTCGACGTGAACTTCAGCTCCATGATCTGGTTCATCAATTTCTCTTGGTTCCCCATATCCTCCGACGAGTGATCTGGCGACGAATGGTGTCTTTGTCGCCGTAGGTCCCGTGGATCACCTTCAAGGAGTTGCAGATCGTCTCACGCCAGCGGTGATCTGGGGACTAGCAACCTAGTGTGCACAGGCTTCGTCGATAGCAGCGGAGACGGAGGGTTTGGAGCGAAGAAAGTCTGCTTGTTTCGTAGGGATGGATTGTCCTGGAGCGATTGAGTCTTCCAATTGGAGGATGTGAGTGGTCTTCTTGCGGAAGGCACGGAGGCTGTGCTTTGGCGAGGTATGTGTAAAAAAAAATCTTAGCGGACTAGGTTGAGGTCCGGCGGGCGGCTAAGGTGAGGTTGCCGCCCGCCGGAGAAGCGAAAATACTAGGTTCTAAACCTGCTATGATACCATGTAAAAATATTGATGTATTATTGATTGATGTATGTTGTTATAAATTACAAATGGTGAGGGGCTCCTTATATAGGAGATGTAGTGGGGTAAGTGGTAGTAGGTGGTAGTGGTAGGTGTGTAGTAAGTGGTAGTAGGTGGTGGTAGGTGGAGTAGGTGATGGTAGGTTTTAACACCCCTTTATTGCTTTTTCATTTGGGATTTCACATTTTTAGGCACGAAAAACCATTGGTTTTAGGATATAACCCCCAAAAACCCCTTTTGCCCCTGCTCTCTTTACTGTTCTTCAACCTCAGTGATGAACACACGAGGATCTGGAGCGAACCGAGCTCCAGGTCTTCGTTTGATCCCAAAAAACACCAACACTGAGCAAGTTGTAGGTTTACAAAACTTGCGTACGAACCGAGGTAACAAAGTGCTGGACCGCTCGACCGGGCTAAAATCTGGCCCGCTTGGGCGACCGAGCTTCTGGGTTTACCCTTGTGACCGAGATGGTCATGCACTCCATCTAACCAAGCTAAGGTCAAGCTCGTTTTGCGCGACCGCTTACACTTAAACTTCCTTTTACTACAGAGTCCAAGGGGACCACGCACCAATACTGAGGCTCTCTAAGGCCGAGCAGCCATCAACCGAGAAATTTGCCAAACCAACACAGCTGTGCTAAAACCAGCCAGCTACACATGGGGCGCTACCACTTCCTGGTTGACCCGCCGGTCGCACTAGCCGCGTTCCGGGAAGAATACGGTGTCCCCGCCGACGCACATCTAGAGCTCGGTGCCAAGGACACAACCCCTTGGGGCAGACTAGACCAGTGCCTTTTCACCGTGCTTTCCATTATCAAAGGCGGCCTTCGCTTCCCGGTCAACCCTTTAATGTGCGAGTTCCTGAGGCGCACCGGGCTAGCACCAACCCAAGTTTCAACCAACACTTATAGGACAATTAACAAGATAGCCGAGCTGAACAACCGGCTAGGCTTGAGCCTAGGACTAGCCGAGATACTTCGCCAGTACACCCTAGGGCATACCGACGATGGTCTCAACTACTATTTAAAAATCAGACCGGGCAAGGAGAAGATAGTAACCGGCACCCCAGATAAAGACATGCACGACGAAGACTTTTTCTGGGTGTCCGGTAATTATGAAATAGCCGACGTGCCGGGCTGGTATATCAGCAAGAATTTCGGTTCAACATGTAAGTCGTGCTAACTGCTCGGTCAAATTACTTTCCTTCACTATTCTGTACTTAATATCTTTTCTTCTATTCTCTTTGCAGCCATTGAAGCTTTGCAAGCCCACTACTACAACCCCAACGAATCAGCCATCAGAACCGCGCTTCGGTACAATAACCGGGATTGCCACGAACTTCTCGGTTACGTACCGACCTACAGATACTCCGCTCTCCACCGGAGTAGAGTGACAGACTTCCACCGAGCGCCGTCCCCACCTCCTGACCCAACACTACCGGACGTGCCCCTCATCCGATTGACCGAAGCAGAGGAGATGGCAAAACGAAGCCGCATCAAAAATCTAATCACCACCACATCCACCGAGCTACCGAGCATCCCCTCCCGTACAGCCGTTGCCGATCATCGTCGCCGGACGTGAGGGTTGATAGGTACTATCTTGCGTGCTAGACTTCTCTACTGGCGTGTTGGAATCTCCAACCCTGTAACTTCTGGTGATAGAAAGGGAGGGAGTGTGCCGCTGGCTCTGACTGCCTGAACGGAGTGGTTGGGTGCGCTCACTGTGGTCTCCCACTCCAACAACACCCTTCCCTTTGACATGCCGTTTGAGAGCTTCCATCTCCGCCGCCATTCTCCGAATGACGGCGTCTTGGTCCCTTAACTTGTGCTCCAGACATCTAGCATGCGATTCTCTTCGCCGCCGATGTCCGTCTGGGCTCCGCGAGTGACCAAAACTTCTAGCGCGCTTATCATGCGTGTCTCTTGAATGTCCACCTGGGGAAGTCTCCAGGTCCGCCATGTTTGGAACAACGGGGAGTCCATCTCTCCGTCTGGCTGACTCCGAGGTAACACCGTCGATGGCGGACAACGGTATTTCGTCGTTGTTCGCCATGGAAGGCGATCAGATGAGCTTGGAGGACAAGGTTTTATCTATCAAGCTTCCCACAGGCAGCGCCAATTATACGGGGAGCAAATATTCCGCGGAGCCCGTACTACTTTCGTCCAAGCTCCTTGTCTATCCAATCAACCTGCGAGCACAACGGCAGTGAGCTACCCGGCAGTGTGTGGCCGGAAAACCCCTCCGACGGTCAAGTTAGCACACACACTCAGGGAGAAAGAGAGGAAGAGAGAGATATATCACAATGAGTGTTTCTCACCAAATGATATTCCATCCCTAGCATAGGGGGTGCAGTCATGCTTATATACTTTCTGCGCTCCACTTTGCACCCATTAGTCTCTCGACACGTGGAACTGCTCTCCCATCTGTCAGCATAAATCCAGCGAACACCACCTAACCAAACCGTCAGACAACATTAGCGGGAACTCGGCAGCTCGGCGGCATTACCTCGGCCTTTCACGACTGTGCTGCGTAACGTGCCTGAGTGCTCCACTCGCCGAACCCCATAACGGCCGAGCTCAGTAGCATTCCAGCAGAGCCGAGCTCAAGGCAGGTCGGCCGGTGAACAGAAGACATTTCCCGCCGAGCTACGCATGCGACCCATGGAACCCGGGTTGGCAGGCGGTCATCTCGGCCAAGTAAGCTCGGTCCAAACATGGGACCTAGACCTCGGGCCTGGGCCTGGGCCTCGACCGAGCAAGATCAACTCTAGGGAAGCCCCAGTTAGCTCGGCCTAAACAGGGGGCCCGAGCCACGACCGAGTGAAACCCACTCGGAACAGGCCCAAATTAGCTCGGCCCAAATGTGCTCGGCCCTATCCAATCCGACTTCCTCCACGGCCCAAAGCCAGATTATAAATCTCCCTCTCAGCACCAAAACAACATACATCTAAAGTAAGGAAAGGAAAAGGCAAAAGAAACCAAAGCATAGATATGATTCATGATTAGATACACAATTTTGCCCTCCATTTCCTGAACTCTTCTAACAGAAAAGCATATATCAAGCAAATATTATCAAATATAAGAATAGTATACACAAGTAGAAGATAATTGATGCCTACAAAAAAAATAAAAAATAAAAAACCTAGATGATATTTAATCAAGAAAATTATGCAACAATAGAAGTTTGAAATATGGAAGGAAAGAACCAAACACCTGTATCAAGCAACCATTTGTATTGATGATAGTCATAAAAAATGATATATAAAGCTAGAGTCTTTCTGAAATGAACTATTAATGACACATACCATCAGGTTTACTTATTGAAGTAATTTCACTATGTTCCACTGGAATAAATTTCGGACATAATGGCGTTGCTGCTGTCGTGCTCATTTTGCTCAAAAAAATTCTTCTGCACAAAAAATTGCTCACACTTCAATCCCAAATGATAAAAACAAATACTAACATTTCCTTACGCTGTGTTTGGTTGGGAGATTTTGAAAGGAAAATAGAAAAAGTAGGTAAAATGTGAATAAAACATATTTACATTTTACATAGTTTCATACACCTTTTCCCTTTCATTTTCCAAATCCCTTCTCAAATCCCTCAACCAAACACAACATTAAGGTTGTGTCTGGTTCATGGATTCCCTCCCCAAATCCACGAACCAGACATACTAAGAAACTCTAATCTCATAATATAACCAACATGGTTGACAATTCAACTCAACTCAACAAGCCTTTCTCCCAATTACATGGGTCGGCTACGTGTACCCATTTCCTTCATTTTGCTATAATTGATTCACAATTTGAAAACAGATACAAAATGAGAACTGTTTTCTGGTGAAGAATGTACTTTCTTTCTTTTTTTTTCGATTTTTGGGTAAGAACTTTCTGGACAATTCAACTAGGTTATAGATTTTTAGCAAAACACCATGTAAAATACTGATGTATTATTATTGATTGTATTGTTCTTGATGTGTATATTACAGATGGTGAGGTACTAATTATATAGGATTGGGGAGTAGGTGAGTGTGTGTGGTAGGTGAGTTGAGTGGAGGTGGTAGGTGAAGTGGGTGCTAGTGGAGATGGTAGGTTGGTAAATTCTAACACACCAAGCAAATAAAGTATCAATCTCCGAATAAATTAGACAATCAAGCTTTGAACCTCAGCTCACATTCACGAGTCACATCCCAATTCAAAACTAATTCTCAGACAGTAATAACAGCTTTAGCCTCCGTTTGGTTACCAAGAAAAACGAAAGAAAATGAAAATACAGATTCAGCTCTACTATTCACCCGTAATAGTCAAGCTCAAGAGGGCAATCACAAACAAATTAAAAACCAACAAGTTTTCCAAATCGTAAAAAAACAAAGAGAAATTCGAATGTAAAAGAAATAGATATTCCACGCAGACACACACACACATATATATGTACAGAGAGAGAGAGAGAGAGAGAAGAAAGATTGCAGACCTTGGGAGAGGGAGGCGGGGAAGAGAGGAAGCACCCTTCAGCATGATTTGAATTGAGCAGTGTGAAGGCTTTAAGCTTAATCGTGGCTTATTTCTCAGAGTGAGACCGCTATTTTGGCTCTGAGGCCCATTAATTTTCTTTGGTCCACAAGGCCTGTAAATTTAAAGTGACCAACACCCTTGATCCAACCCTAGGTGCAGTCGCAATCCATAGAAGTTGAGTGGCAAGCAAATTCAACCGCAGAAGTAGTAAGCAAGAGAGGGCCTCATCAGAGAAAAATAGCCAGGAAATAATAAGAGTAATATTATGGTTGGTAAGATTTATTTTCAGTTTATTTTTATTTTTAACATAATTTAAGCTATTTTAATGTGTTTGATTTAGCTTAATAACACAGCTTATAACTTTTTGTAAATCAAATATCAACTTATTCTTTGAGTGGAGGAGGAGAAACTTAATTTATAAGTTAAAAATCAGCTTATGTTCACAGTTATAAGTTATAAGCTGTTAAGTTATAAGCTATAATCACTTTCTCACAGCTCTACCAAACGAGGCCTAATATCTTCAATCATTATAAAATATTTTACGTATATTTTAAGTTATCAAAAATTATTTATATAATTCATGTTTTATAAATTATATTAATATTTCAATTACGTTAATTATTTTACGAACCCTTATTCTTTGAGTGGGGGAGGAGAAACTTAATTTATAAGTTAAAAATCAGCTTATGTTCACAGTTATAAGTTATAGGCTGTTAAGCTATAAGCTATAATCACTTTCTCACAGCTCTACCAAACGAGGCCTAATATCTTCAATCATTATAAAATATTTTACGTATATTTTAAGTTATCAAAAATTATTTATATAATTCATGTTTTATAAATTATATTAATATTTCAATTACGTTAATTATTTTACGAACCCTATTTGCTTAAAATTAAAACTCATGAATATGATTATTTAAATTTTAGAAATTATTGGATAATGAGTATATAAACATTTATTTTTGTGGCACGGGAGTCTCATGCCTTGGAAACTTAAATAACCATTGGCTCTATGAATTGTCACTTTAACGACCCTTTGACGGTCCTATGCACCTAAATAACCATTGGCCTTTGATTAGTCATTTTGTGACCTTCCGTTTGTCATGGATCCATTGACTCCCTATTCTTTTTTGTACCGTGGTTACGAATATTTTACTATAATTCTGCATTTTGTTTTTGTTATTTAAATGATTTACTCACACCAAACTATTTTCTGTTTGGCCTAAATAATTATCCATGGTGATTTTATACCCTTATACTCTCAATATAATATTTTTCACTCGGCTATGTGCTTATAGTTGTTGTCCTCTTTCAGGTGGTGATATGTAAGGAAAAGTGGTAACTTTGTGTAATGAGACTAGCACGGGACTTAATGTGGACTTTTTGTTTCTTTTTATATAATTGTCTGATCATCAATAAAATAAATAAAAGTCTCGACGAATGTGTTTTTTTTTATAAAAAAAAAATTATTGAGTATTTCGATTATTTATTTACCTATTTAACTATTTTACTACTTTATCTTGTCTCTGCCAACGCCACTTAATTTGTTAAAATTAGAATTAATTAGCTAGTTGTGAATCCAGACTAAGCACCCGATATTGGGTCGTGACAACCCTAGTATAGTAGGAGTGTGGTACATGCTCTCTCTATTCTACAGATGCACTCTTGGGAAGGAAAGCCAAAATTATTGATGTAGATCGATCAATCACGCCCTGTTCAAGTGATCGCCCCGAGCTGAGCAAGATTGGGAATTGCCTTAATGACTGTTTGTAATTGGCCCTACCGTTTGACGTATGTATGACATGTAGTTTTTGTTTTTGTATCTTTGACGTCCCTTAGCCCCTCTTCTATCTCATTTATCTATCATTAGAAATAGGTTGGCTGTCAATCAATGAATTGAGAAAGATAGGACCGGGGATTCCATTTCAATAGAGAAAGCTATCGATGGTCACAGTGAGACGGGAACAAATGAGAAGTGTGCCCCCGGTTCTATTCCTTTTTTTGTTCGGTTGGGATGACAGTGAGCAATTGATAGAGAGCAAGGGATGCTAGCTCCCTGATCCTAGTATTCCTTGCTTCAATAGGTTCAGGAAGCTTTGGCATCGGGATGCATTATGATAGCTAGGTCGGATGGGATTATCTATTCGATGGTTATTCATCAAACGGATCATTTTCCCTTTACCTCAGTAGCTGGGCCCGAAAGGCAGTAACCGGCTTTGGTGAAAACTCTTCTAACAATTAATCGTGAGGGATTTAAATGAAGTAGAATCGATTTCAAATCAATAGGTCAAATCACTCGACTATGGAAATAAATCTAAAGAAAGGCCTCATTAGCCCAAACCTTTCATCGGCCAAAACAAACTCCTAATCTTGGCTCCGGAGGTATCTTCTATTTAAATTAAAAAAAGTTAATATGTTGTCCCAAAATTCCATCTGAGACTTTTGCTTGACTGCTTGCTAAAATGCCTCTATATCTCGCAGTTGGCTACCTTCCACTTGGCCTCTTCTACTCTTTCATCTTGGATATCTTCTGCCCGATGATGAATCTTTTTCTCTAACATTGTGTTTGATTGGGAGATTTGGGGAGGAATTTGAAAAGGAAAAGAGAAAAGATGTGTGAAATTAGTTGAAATATAAGTATATTTTATTTATTTACATTTCACAAACCTTTTCTATTTTTATTTCTAAATCTCCCCTCAAACTCCCTAACTAAAGACAACATAACATAAGGAGTTTTAGAGCAATTTCTCTATTGGCGGTTGCGCGAACTTCGTTTGAAGCACCTTCTATGTAAGGCTGCACAAGTGGCTAATATGGAGGCCTCCAACCAAATCGCCACCTTTCACCTAAATTTCACTTTGGCCCAACTAACTTAATAATTACATTATATTTTAGTAAAACACAATAATTGATAATTTAAATTAAATTACATTTTAACACATATAACTATTAAATTAAATATATTATTATGTATATATGTTTTGGTGATATTAACATGATATCAAAATTAATTAAATATTTAAAGTGTCACAAGGGCCTTCAGTTATTCACTGGAAAGAAGAAATGACTTCTAGTTAGGTTTTTTCTCTAAATCAGCTTAGGATAATAAAAAACGAATATATATTATTTCCATTTCTTAAAAGTACAAATAGTTTGAAAAGAAATAAAATCTTTGAAAAAATTAAGGAAAAAAAACATACATACCATGATAATATTACAAATGAACTGAGTCAAAATACATATATAATAAACTGTTTAACCTTTACTTAAAACTTCAAGGGAGTTTTACAATCTATTTATGCTTGACTAGTTTAAGTTTGGATAAATTATAAACATATTCTCTAAGATTTACTTAAATTACAAATTATCTTTTGTGGTTCTAGAAATTATATTATATCTCCTAAGATTTATAATTTCATAGCAAATAGATCATTTTATTAATAAATCATCAAATTAATTAATAAATTTTAATAATGTTAAAATTTTATTTTAATTAATAATTCAGATAATTTTATTATTTTATAGGTGAACAGTTAGAAATTTTATTTTTTAATTAATTTTGTTAAATAAAATTTTTTAATAAGAAAATATTTGTAATTTTTCAATTCAGTTGAGAAGTCAAATACGCACAAACCGACAAGATTGTCTGGTGTGCAATTTTTCTGCGTCTTTGAATTGATATTGAGGTAACCTTTTCATTTTTGAATGTAATTTTGATATGAAATAATATGGATAAAACAAAATTCAAGAATTCATGCTTGCTCTCTCTCTCTCTCTCTCTCTTCAAGTTTCAGGTAATCCATATGAGCACTGGACTCTCGTTCTCTCTCGAATCTGCTTTTATAAAAGCAAAATTCAAGAACCCAAATGAAAATTTCGATTATATAGATCCTTATATTAGCAGATCAAAACATTTGTATTATATGTATGTGTGCATAAGCATATCTATCTTATCTGTAGATATGTCATAATGGTACTGAACATCTATAATATTGATGAGAATATATTTAATAATTTCATAATATCACGTGGTCATATTTCAAGTCAATCACTAATTACTTATTTCATGTTATTCTTTCATTCTCAACATAAATCGTGGCTCCTACCCTCTCTATCAATCAAAATCTTATGGACTATATCTTGGACATATTCTGAAATTACTCGATAATCACCCAATATTGATATGCATTTGTATTATGGTAAAAATGTTGTGAAAATCACATGTTTTTGTTTTGTTTTGTTTTTTCCAGTATCCAAGGTGGTTTAGTAAATTCCTTTCCTGTATTCACATTTCTTCCTCGTAATTGAAAAGGTAAAGTTTTCTCCCTAACATACATAGGAAAATGTTGCATATAGGGATTTAATTGATTTTTAGTAAACCCCACTAATTAAGCATAATTAGATTTATACTTTTATACTAAAATATATATTTTATCTTATTTATTTTCATGTATTCACACCATTTGTATTAATTTTTGTTTTTTTAACTTTATATTAAAAGGAGATATCGGTGTAATTATGTCAAAATTGTAGAGTTTGTTGTGTTTTCTCTAAACTTGAGGAGGTTAGAATAATTTATCCTATTATTGAAGTTTTGGTTGATTATTTCATATTTCCCAATCGATAAAATGGAATGAAAAATGGAATCTCTGGTGTTTACATATACACAAAAGAAGATGGGTAGATCTGCCTATTACACCCCATGTATCTGGTTTTTTATTTTATTTTTTATCATTAATGATGATTCTAGATGGTATGCTCTGGTTTTTTTTATTTTTTATTTTTTATTTTTTTTATCATTAATGATGATTCTAGATGATATGCTCTGTTTTTCTTTTTGTTTTTTTTCTAAATTTTATATTTTTGAATGTAATTTTGATATGCTGATGATGACCCCGTTAGCAATGTGCAAAATGAACAGTGGGAGATTAAGCCAATGATTACAAATACTAGTTTGTGTAGTGATCTTGTTGAAAATAGAAGGATTCAATGTTGGAATAAGTTATGTTAAGAATGCTGTTGCAAAAGGAGCAGGTGAATTTTTTAGTTTTGCAATAAACTGATTAAATTGACTTATTTTATTTTATTTCTTTCTTTCCTTTTTTAACAATATTCATCGTAACGTTCTTCTTCAATTCTGATATTGCGCGCAGTTTGTTTGGATGGGAGTCCTCCGGTATACCATCTTGATAAGGGATTTGG